AGGACGTGGCACTAACCCAGAAATCGTAGGTTTGAAAAATTACTGCCTTTGTAGTATTGTTATCTTGCTATGTAGTATTGTTATCTTGTTACTACAACATAATCTGTAACCATGGTAAATCTCTAGGGCTGAATGCCTCAGAAAATCCTATATAACCACTTAGTTGTAAGTACTCAGGGTCCTCGTTGAGACCTGCTGGACGGGCTGACTTGGACCCCAACTAGTTGGCTTCCGAATAAATTCCTCTTGCTTGTTGCATCAAGAAACGTCTTTGGTGAGTGATTTGGGGCGGCGCCTTCCTCAGGGGAATCCAACAGTGCAATTTCATTAAAAATTAATAGAAAGGATGAAATCGAACCTTGGTATTTATGGAGCTAATAAAATTTATCTAGGCATTTTCAGTGGTCTGCTTTAATCATTAAGCTACATTAACAAGTCAGATTTAAGGAGATGCCTGTCCATAGGGACTTTATGGATTTAAGTATTACATTGGTCTTAGTATGATTTTTTAAATCATTGAGCAATTTTTTTCTAATCTGTTAGAGAATTATGGGGATTTTTATTTTAGGTCTTAGTTAAATGTACTTTTGTAAGACCCAATGGCCTTATTTCGGTCTGCGCTTCCCCCCAGTGAGGAGATGAAGGCCACAGCAGATCGATGCAACAAGCAAGAGGTTTATTATTATTCCAGCTAGCTGGGGTCTAAGTGTCTTCCCAGCACAGCAGGTTTCAACAAGGACCCCGAGCACTCAAAGCCAAGGGTTTATATAGCATTTTCAAAACAGTTAACTCATAGTAATTTTTCACAGGTGCACATTATTCTTGCAAGACATACATCCTGGGGTTAGGCAAGAGCAAGATAAGACCACTCCTCAATTGTCAGGGAGGTTCTGTACAATAAGCTTGGTATGTAAGATTAGCTGACCAAGGTAGCTGACCCAGGTTCACAGCTGCCCACCACCTGGTGTTCATGATTAACTTGTTTTTCAAGGCCTTACCCAGTTCCAGTTTTTCTTTCTAAGTCACATACTCAGAAAATGGCTTCTAGGCTCTTAAGATGGCTACGCTTATGCTAACCTATTTCTATTCTTACACTTTAATTTTAATCAAAGAAAATATCACATCTAGGGAGATACCGGTCTGGAAATTTTGTGAATTTAAGTAGCGTGCTTGTATTAATGGAAAAGATATTTTTAATTGATGAGTAGTTTTTTTCTAAGCTATTAGGGCTGAGAATATGAATAGTTTTGTTTAAAATACCAAAGAGGAGTACTCACAGACTAAGGAACTCTGCTTAGATATAATTCCCAGTAGTCGTTTTAAGGATTCTCAGTAAAAAATTAAAAGATCAGGTAAGGGATGTGGGCACCGCCCCTCATGCCCGCAGCCCCTTTTGTGGGTGCGCTGGCCTCCTGGCATGGCCCTTGGGCTGGGGCAGATGCTCCCAACCCCCAGGTATCCCCAAATCCCTTCTGTGGCCCCGCAGTTTCCCTTGATCCTGGCAGCTCGCCCCCACTCTTGTTGATCTGTCAGCTTCCCCTCCTCCTGCCTTATCCTCCACCTTCCGTCCCTGCCCCTGCCTGTCCAGAGGTGAGCCCCAAGAGATAGTCAAGAGAATTTATACTTCAGCTGCTAAGTGTGAAGCTAGTGCATCAGGGCAATTTCTGCTGTATTCTCTCATTGCCATGTAGGGTTGAGGAGGAGTTTGGAGGTACCTTTGAGTCAGAGTCTCCCTTAGTGTCAACTTTATGAAATACGCTCATTGGTTTGGTGTTGGGAGGACCAGGCTCATGTTTTCTGGCTAGATTTATAGTCATTCCCTTGGGACTTCCCTGCACATTTTCTCAAGGGTCTTCCTCATGCCTAATGTGTAATCCTTCAACATGGACCTGCTACTTTAGCTAAGATATGGCCCGCAATGAACAGTAGTAAGGTATGTGCTGATAAGAAGGCTCACCTGTGCAGTATGGAGGATAAGAGAGTACCTTACAAAAATGGGGTTTGGGAATGACCTGAAGAATTCACATGAAGCTGTGTTAAAATTGCAAGATTGGGAATTATGGTTACTGAAGAAATTTATGGCCCTGAGAATAAAAAGTGATAAAGAATATGCATCTACTTTACAGCACCTTTGTAATCAAGTCAATAAGGAAAGTACTATCCAAATGAATTATGCCAGCAATGTATCCAAGTTTTGGTTACTTATGATTCAGCAGACTGAACAACTTAGTAGGATAATGAAGACACATGCAGAGGACCTAAATTCTGGACCCTTACACCAGCTCACCATGATGATCAAAGACAAGCAGCAGGTGAAGAAAAGTTTTATAGGTGTTCATCAGCAGATAGAGGCAGAGATGGTCAAGGTTACAAAGACATAAGTAGAGAAATTAAAATCCAGCTATAGACAATTAATAAAAGAAATTAATTCTGCCAAAGAAAAATATAAGAAGCTTTAGCTAAAGGGAAAGAAACTGAAAAAGCCAAGGAACGTTATGACGAAGCCACAATGAAACTTCTTATGTTGCATAATAGGTATGTATTGGCATTGAAAGGGGCCAGCTTCACCAGAATCAGTATTATGACACTGCACTTCCTCTCCTTCTGGATTCCTTACAAAGGATGCAAGAAATGATAAAAGCGCTAAAAGGTATATTTGGTGAATATAGCCAGATAACCAGTCTTGTTACAGAAGAAATAGTGAATGTCCATAAAGAGATTCAAATGTCAGTTGAACAGATAGACCCTAGCACAGAATACAATAATTTCATAGATGTTCATAGAACAACAGCTGCTAAAGAGCAAGAAATTGAGTTTGATACTTCCTTACTAGAAGAAAATGAAAATCTTCAGGTAAATAATATTATGTGGAATAATTTAACAGCAGAAAGTTTGCAAGTAATGTTGAAAACTTTAGCAGAGGAACTTATGCAAACACAATAGATGCTTTTAAACAAGGAAGAGGCTGCCCTGGAGCTAGAGAAGAGTATTGAAGAATCTTCTAAGACATATGAAAAAAAGTCTGATGTTGTGCTTTTGTTAAGCCAAAAACAGACACTGGAAGAGCTGAAACATTCAGTGCAGCAGCTGAGATGCACTGAGGCAAAGTTTACAGCACAAAAAGAAATACTAGAGCAGAAAGTACAAGAAAATGATGGGAAAGAGCCACCTCCAGTAGTAGTCAATTATGAAGAAGATGCAAGATCAGTTACTTCTATGGTCCTATTAAACTTGTTTGTAAATACAAAGTGTAAGACCCAATGGCCTTATTCGGTTCTGTGCTTCGCGCCCCCCCCCC